AAGATTATCTTCTGTGTCTGTGTTAATTGGTTTCCCTTTTCTTTGTTGAAGAGGGTCTGTGCAATCCTTCTGGCTAGTCCGCCATCTTGCCCCGCCTCTATCTGGACAAGTTTTGAGAAATGTCTTTAGCATTTGGATCCTGTATTTGGCTGAGTCTTCATCTCCCCCATCTGTCCAGTCTGCACTGGACTTAAACCAGTGGCCTGCTGTGTTACCTGCTGATCTTGGGATTATGCCATTTTACCTGCTGACCTTGGGTTCATCAGCCTTAGCCACCAGCAGCTGCATGAGTTAGGAAATACCTCCAGCTCTAGTGGGCCTGGAACAAGAGGCAGAGCTGAATGAAGCCCAAGGTCATGGGGCCTTCACCCAGGCCCTAGAGCCTGCATTCTGAGTTTTGACTTCTATCTAGCCTCCTAAACTGTAAAAGAATAAATTCTTGTTTGTTAAAGCCATCCACTGTGGTATTTCTGTTATAGCTGCACTAGAGAGCTAAAACAGGCACCCACTTTGAGACAGGCCCTGTGCTGACACAACCTTGCCTCTGTGTTTACTTGCCCCAGCCAGCCCATTACTTCTTAATACTTATTTCTTTCTACACAGTGCTTCTTTAAGAAGAAAGAAGCTCAAGGAATACTAATTAACTATTGCTTTAATGTTCCATTTGACACGTATTTATTGAGCATCTGCTGAGTATAAGGCACAGCTTTCTTCTTGTGTTTCTGTCTTCCTGCCTTGATAAGAGTGCCTTTGGGGCAGGACCAGATCTGATTCTTCTGTGTCCCCAGGCCCCACTTATTCAGTGTTTGCTAAATTGAATGGGATGGATGGTTTTTGACAGGAGAGCCAGGTACCCTTGCTGACAGCGTGGAAGGGCAGAGTAGCCTTTTCTCTGTGACAGGCAAAGCCTTGTACCAAGTAAACACTTTTTAGGCTTATCAGTCACAGGCACTCAAAAGCAGGAAGGTTGATGCATGACCCCTAGTAACCTTTTTGTCATACTCAGAGTGCTCTGTCCTGAAGTCACAGGACTGAAGATTGGAGGAAATGCCTCTCCCTATACACACATGCATACTAACAGCTAGCATTGTTAAGAACACTGAACTGTGGGCTGGCATAGCCAGGTTGCTAGTGATGCCCACATCCTTCCAGAGGGCTCAGCTGACTGGCAGGCAGTAAATACCCGGCATTAAGATAGTATTAAAGAAAAGAACAGAGGAAGAAAGAGGGAACTTTTAATTATTATTTGGATATTCTGTGTTTCATAAAGGACCCCTTTTTGGATGAATTTCATCTGTAAGCATATGTGTTTAAAAATGTGAGCATGTTAATGTTATGTATATGAGTTTGTATGTTCACATGTATTTGTATTAGGATATATTAATCTAGGTATTTGGTATATTTATTTGCATGTTGAGTTACGTGTATTTGTGTGTGCATAGCACGCTTGTGGGTACAGCACTTTTCCATCTGGGTAGTGTGTTTCTGCATATGTGTGCATGCTATATGTAGGAGCCCCAATACCTTTAACAACAGTGTCAGAAAGGACTATGAATACTCCTCCCAGAGTGGCTTGATATGTTTTCTCATTGTTCTATAATCTCTTATATTCTTATTGTTAAATATTTCCACTACCATTCCTCACACTGAACTTGGGGTCCTAAGTCACCTCCAAGGGAGAAGTCCCACTGATCACTTATGAACCCTCTGACCATTTATCTTCTCTTCCTACCAGGAGCCAATCCCCTGCAGAGGAATGAAATGGGACACACACCCTTGGATTATGCCCGGGAAGGGGAGGTGATGAAGCTTCTGAGGACTTCTGAGGCCAAGGTAAGTCTCAGGAAAAGAAGAGGCCTGTGGGCACACTGTGCATCATTTAGTCTTTTTACTCATTAAATTATGTCAGGCTTCACACCAAAGGCCACTACTCTTTAAGTGATTATTGTCTATTTAAATACAAATACAACCCCCAGTCTCATTAAGAACAGGAGGCTGCCTTGTCAGGACTAGGAAGAGGCCTTAGCCAACTTCTAAAGATTAACCTTAGAATTCAACTTTTGAGGTGATGGGTGTCCCAGCTTCTTTTCATGGGCAGGGAGGCTAATCCAAGTAGCATTTCCCCTAGGTCTAATGTATTCTACACCCTCCTCAAGCAATTCTTTGCTGTCATCACTCTAGAACCCTCTCCTAAATCCATCCCTTCACACACAGCCAGAGAGCCTAATCTAGAGTCAAAGTGCGTGTGTGTGTGTGTGTGTGTATCTTAATTTGATCTCAGCCAAACTTTTAAACTCCAAACGCTTAAGTCTTTTGCTCCTCCCAGCCACAGAGTTGTAACTAAGGAGCTACTTGGCAGACTCCAGGAACTAGAATCACAAATCTCAGAACTGTTAGGGATCTTAGAAATCATCAAGGACCAGAGCCTAGCCACTTGGCCTCTCCCTTACCTTCTGGGGTAGCCTCTGAGAGGACTCTGCTATGACGTACAAGTTTTAAGTCACTGAACCCTTAACCAACTGACTAGAGGAAACTGGAGCCCAGAGGTGGGATGTAGCTTACATTTGGTCCCAGAGTAAATCCCATCAAAACTGAAACTAATAGGGTTGAGCACAAGGTCGCATAGTGAGTTCAGTGGCAGGACTGGAACAGGAAAACCTTGTTCCTGATTCTTAGTCTTGTGGCACCATGGAGTCTCCTGTCAGCAAATTGACTAAAGTGCCTTGAGATTATTCAGTGTGGCAGGTCCCACCTAGTGGCAAATACTCTGTATCTTGAGTAAGAGCACTTAGGTCACTGGACTGAGACAGAGAAGACATGAGTTCTGATCTCAGCTCTACTGCTCACTGACTGAGTGACTTTGGCCTAGCACTTCCCCTCAATGAACCTCAGTTTCCCCTTGTGAAATGATAGCATCAGACCAAATGGTTTCTAAGATTCCATTCAATGCACAGTTGTCTGTGTATTATGCTGTAATAACAAACAACCTCAAATTTCAGTGATTTAAAACAATGAAGATTTACTTTTATCTTATGCTATGTGTTCATTGCAGGCCAGTAGAGGGGGACTTTGTTCATCATAGGCACTCGGGGACCCCAGCTTACAAAGTAGCCACCATCTAAGATGTCACTGGTGCTTGCCAGAGGGAAAAGAGAATGCTTCAGAAGGTCTTATATCTGCAGTTAAATGCTCAGCCTGGGAGTGGGACCGTTCATGTCTACTCACATCTCATTGGCCAGAATTAATCCCATGTTCCCACCCATTCCCAAGGGGGCCAAGAAAAGTAGGTAATCCTATCCCATGCCCAGGAGGGATAGAGCTGGAAATATTTGGTAACCAGCATTAACCATACAGTGTTTTTCTTCTTGGGATCATTAGTAACCGTCTTATAGTAGTTTCCTCCAGAGAGGGAAAAGAGGTTGGAGGGTAACTGGCTTTCACAACACCGGCCAAAGGGCCCTTGGGACCAGGAGGAGCTCTTACACCCCAGAGGGCAAATGCTTCCCTCCCTTCACTGAGGTCCTCTACCCCTCAGAGCAGCCCTGAAAGTCAGGCCAGATACCCCACATGCTTTAAGGAAATCCCTAACCACTGTTTTGAATAATTTCAGAGACTGCTGATTGCTTTCCCCTGAGATAAGGGCTGATGCTTGGCCAAGAATACCCATGGTTTTTCAGGTGGTGTGACATAAGGCAGGCACTGGTCTATTCATGTGAAGCAAGAGAATAGGAGTCCTCTTAGTGCCAGTACAGATGGAGAACTAAGGCTACTGGGAGACCCTGAACAAGATTTGGCTGCCCAAGTGGTTTGATGTTGTTCTCGTTGGTACAAGTCTAGTGTTCAGAGTGAACAAATGACAGTTGCTGTCCCTTGTGCCTGTCAGACCTTGTCTGGAGCACCAAGGGCAACTGCAGACACCACATTCTCAGAAGGACATTAACTGCTTAGAATTTGTGCAGAGGATGGCAGTAAGAGTAGAGCTGGATCCCTTTGCCATAGGGAAAAGCTGAAGACAGTAGGAGCATCTGTCCTAGAGAAGAGGTATGGGAACAGCTTCGTGTGAACTTCATTCATTGGAGAGCTAGGACAGGATCAGGCTCAGTGGACAGCAGCTGCAGGGAAAAACTCCTTAACAGAGCTATCTCATAGTAGAAGAGGCTGCCTTTAGAGGCCAGGTGACCACTTAGAGCCAGGCCAGGGACTCTGGAACCTCTCAAATAGGAGACCATTTCATTTGTTGCCGACCCCTGTGAACTTGATCCCTTTGCCCAGAATTTGATTTCCTCCATCCTGAGAGTCCAGCTGTCCATGGAGCATCTCCACCTGACTGCTTAGCTAGCCCCTCAGGTTCTATCCATATGAATCACTCCTCAGCTCTGCCCAGAATGTCAGCAGTATTTTCTTTTTCTCAGTTGCTAAGCATTAACTTAGTAACCCATTCTTTCAGCTCAGCTTTTTCTTTCTTCAAGTTGCAAAAATCTACGTCTTTAAAATTAAGAGGCAGAGTTTCCAAGCAGCTGCCCCTCTCTGAGCCCAAACCCTGCATCTGTAACATAATGATTCAGCCTGAAGCCTCATCTCCTGACTCTTTGTCTAGACCTGGATAACTGCCACTGTGATCTTATCTTGCTTCCCTTCTGTCCATCCAGCATTCCCCTGCCACCAGCTTAGCCTCCTCCACCTTCACCTACCACTCTGTAGTCACGTGTCTTTCTTTCTATATTTGCAAAAATCACATGTGCTTATTACAGAAAACTTGGAAAGTAGTGTAAAGGATAATGAACAGAATTAAACAATTGAGTACATATTTATTAATGACATCCATTGGCCAGGCCCTGGGCTACATGGAAGGAAGACAGATGAGTAAAACACACAAGGAGTTCATTCAGTCTGATGGAAAACAGGTAAATAAAACAACACACCACTGAGGGACTGTGGGAACTCAGAGGTGGCTTCCAGTCATGCCTGGAAGATCAGAAAGGGACTCCTCAAAGAGATGACATCTGAGATGGATCTCAACAAAAAGCATTTAGTCTTACCTCTAGACTTAACCACTATTAATATTTTTAATTGTTTATTCTAATAGCTACTATTTATTGAGGGTATCTGAGCACTGTGCCAGATGTACTTTTTTTTTTCTAGTAATACAACAACTGTATGAAGTAACTGTTGTTAGCCCTTTTTTTATAGACGGGAAAACTGAAACTATAAGAGAGAAAGCAAGTGACTTAGATTAAATCAAGCTGTTCTAAGTGACTGTTACAAGGATTTGAACCAGAGCTTTCCTTTTATGGTACTACATTTGCCTTTTCTGAACCATATTTATATAGATGTGCTTTGTTTTATTTTGTTTTTTAAACATGGTTAACACTCTGCTGTATATACCAGGAGTCTCAAACTGACAGCCATGTTTTGTTTTGCTAACCCAGAGTTTTTATAAAAATTTGAATTTAATGCCTTGGCATAGACTCTTCAGCCACAGGCCCCACACCATTCCTATTATTTTCTATCCCTACCTGACAGATGTTTATATTTTCTACTTGGCCCTGCAGGTATTTTGAGTTATGACCCTAGGTATATATTGGAAATCTGCTTGCTTTTTTTTTTTTCACTTAATAATATTTCTTGACAATTTTCCAATTTAAAAATTTTTTTCTTTAAATTTATTTTATCATTGTTGATAATATACCCAGCAAAACATAAGAAGCATAATATACATACAATTCAGTTTTTTACATGTACAATTTGGTGACATTGATTGCATTCTTCATGTTGTGCACCCTCCTTTTCTGCATTATTCATCCCTAATTAACATAAACTCACTGCCCCCTAAGATTCCTATCTAATCTTTGGAGTTGCTGTTATCAGTTTGATCCCATATAGATAGATGTCAAAAGAGCATAATGATACTGTATTGCCACTAATAATAGACACTAATCTATAGGTGGGTACATAGGCAAACTGACAAGATCAGATGTGAGTGGCTAAATGGGAATATTCCCATGAGCATAGATAAGTTTGTCTGATGATAGTTCTACATGCATATTTATATATGCTATACAAATATCCACATACATTATAGACCTAACAGGGGATAAAGTTGGGATAGCTTCTGAGCCACACCCAAGCACCTTGTGAGACTGAGCTGCTGGAACTGTGGGCTCAGAACCATGGTCTCAGGGGACATCAAGCTTAATTGGCATAACCTAGTACACAAAAACATGGTTCTCCTGCACGTACTGTGTTGTTGTTCAGCAACCTGCCATGCTCTGCCGATCCTGGGACTTTCAATGGACTTGAATCAGTGGCCTGCTGTGCTGTTTGGTAACATCAGGACTGTGCCATTTTATTTGTTGACCTTGGGCTTGTTAGCCTCAGCAGACACTAGTTGCCTGAGTGAAGAGATGCCTCTAGCTTCAGTGGGCTGGGAGTAAGACACCGCTCTGAAGGTCAAGGTGGAAGGGCTTTCACACAGCCCCTAGAGTATGGCACTTTGAACTTGGACTTAAACCCTTCAAATTGTAAGAATGAACTCCTGCTTGTTAAGGCCAAAAGAAAAAAAAACATGGTTCTCCATTCTACTTTGATGTGTAGTGCCTGGGGCTTATGAACAGCCATCTAAGATGCAACTATTGGTCTTTCCTCGTTCAGAGCAAAGACTAATGAAGAAAATCAAAGACATATGGAAACAATTAGTCCAAGAGACTAATGGACCATGGGAACCTCAACCTACATGACCTTGAGATCAGAACCAATGCCAACTACTCAAGAAAAGGATCAGAATTGGAGATCCTGGATAGAGCGGGAGGAAAAATGGGGAAAAGATCAAAAAC